CAACTCCAGGCTCTCCCTGTGAAAGGGAAGTCAGGAAAAATCAGGAATTCTCCTTCCAGCATAAACCCAGCACAGAGAGAGTTTGGTTCCTGCTGCTCTGTGGAGATCCAGCTGGAATCCCACAGAATTCCCGGAATGATCCCATTCCGAGGGCTCCTGCAGAGCCCTCATCTCCTCTGGATGAGACAAAGCTCTTGGGAAGCAGCTCTGGAAAAGAGGGAGCTGGAATGTTCCTGGGAATGTTATCCCAGGATTATGGATCAGATACATTCCCTGGCATGACTCATTCCCAAGGTGTCCTGTCCGTGTGATCCTCCTGGAATATTTCCAGGAATGTTATCCCAGGATTCTGGGTCAAACACATTCCCTGCCATGACTCATTCCCAAGCTGTCCTGTCCCTGTGATCCTCATGGAATATTCCTGGGAATGTTATCCCATGATTCTGGGTCAGACTCATTCCCAAGGTGTCCTGTCCATGGGATCGTCCTGGAATATTCCCAGGAATGTTATCCCAGGATTCTGGGTCAGACACATTCCCTGGCATTCATGACTCATTCCCAAGGTGTCCTGCCCATGGATCCTCCTGGAATATTCCCAGGAATGTTATCCCATGATTCTGGGTCAGACACATTCCCTGCCATTCATGACTCCCAAGGTGCCCTGTCCCTGTGATCCTCCTGGAATATTCCTGGGAATGTTATCCCATGATTCTGGGTGAGACTCATTCCCAAGGTGTCCTGTCCATTTGATCCTCCTGGAATATTCCCAGGAATGTTATCCCATGATTTTGGGTCAGACACATTCCCTGGCTTGACTTATTCCCAAGGTGTCCTGTCCATGTGATCCTCCTGGAATATTCCCGGGAATGTTATCCCAGGATTTGGGGTCAAAGACATTCCCTGGCATTCATGACTCATTCCCAAGGTGTCCTGTCCATTTGATCCTCCTGGAATATTCCAGGGAACATTATCCCATGATTCTGGGTCAGACTCATTCCCAAGGTGTTCTATCCATTTGATCCTCCTGGAATATTCCTGGGAATTTTATGCCAGGATTCTGGGTCAGAATCATTCCCTGGCATGACTCCCAAGGTGTCCTGCCCATGTGGTCCTCCTGGAATATTCCCAGGGAATGTTATCCCATGATTCTGGGTCAAACACATTCCCTGCCATTCGTGACTCATTCCCAAGGTGTTCTATCCATTTGATCCTCCTGGAATATTCCAGGGAATGTTATCCCAGGATTCTGGGTCAGACTCATTCCCAAGGTGTCCTGTCCATTTGATCCTCTTGGAATATTCCTGGGAATGTTATTCCAGGGTTCGGGGTCAAACACATTCCCTGGCATGACTCATTCCCAAGCTGTCCTGTCCCTGTGATCCGCATGGAATATCCTGGGAATGTTATCCCAGGATTCTGGGTCAGACACATTCCCGAGGTGTCCTGTCCATGTGATCCTCTTGGAATATTCCAGGGAATGTTATCCCAGGATTCTGGGTGAGACACATTCCCAAGGTGTTCTATCCATTTGATCCTCCTGGAATATTCCTGGGAATGTTATCCCAGGATTCTGGGTCAGAATCATTCCCTGGCATTACTCCCAAGATGTCCTGTCCATTTGATCCTCCTGGAATATTCCTGGGAATTTTATGCCAGGATTCTGGGTCAGAATCATTCCCTGCCATTACTTCCCAAGGTGTCCTGTCCATGGGATCATCCTGGAATATTCCCAGGAATGTTATCCCATGATTCTGGGTCAGAATCATTCCCAAGGTGTTCTATCCATTTCATCCTCCTGGAATATTCCAGGGAACATTATCCCAGGATTCTGGGTCAGACTCATTCCCAAGGTGTCCTGTCCATTTGATCCTCCTGGAATATTCCCAGGAATGTTATCCCAGGATTCTGGGTCAGACTCATTCCCAAGGTGTCCTGCCCACGGATCCTCCTGGAATCTCCTCCTGGTCCCCAGCCACACCTGAGGAGGTGCCCTGGACGCTGATCCCAGCTGGGAATGTGGGATTTGGGAAAAGGAGGAAAAGCCCCCCTGGCTGTCCTTTACCTTCTGACCTCCTTCCCCTCGCTCTCCTTTGGTGCCCTGGGAATAAAGAGAGGATTCCGAGGTCGTGGAATTGTCACCCCTGAGCAAGA